ATATAAATGTTACGGTAAGAGTCCGAATACCAAATTATTTCGGTAAAACCTAGGATAAACAAATTAGTTTAGTCAAACCCCGATTGATTTTTGTAGTTCGGACTTGTACAAACGAGATTTGAGAAATCTTACGATAAACAATAAACGTTGATAATGATAAATGTCCGAAATTTTTTACCAATGATGTGATTTTTTTCCCCTTGCTTTATAGTAGCTTGTATTCATTTAAAAAATCATAAATTATAATATTTATTATATATTTAGACTTTTTAGTATTAGATAGATATCCACATTTTTTATTACTAATAATCATTATAATATATTATTCATACATATCAATATAAATAATATACATCAATGCATGTATCATACTAAATATTTTAGCAAAAATATCTACTATATTAATTAATAATAGTTCGTGCAGTTTTGACTATTATGGCATCTTGAGTTGTACAACACATTTTTGAATACGTGTTTATATCGATTTTTGATACATTTTTTCAAATAATCGCACGTTATCAAGCTTTGTTCATCAGTCAAAAATAGTCGCAATGCTGCTCGATAAATACATATTTCATTGTCTGAAGTTATTATTGCGGATTATAAACAATTTTCTGATAGAAAAATAGATTTCGATTAGAGTGAACTCATTCCAAGCGAAAAGTTAAGAGAGTGTTCCTGCTTTTTTACCCAGTCGATATCAATACCCAGTAATCAGTATTAATTTTTCTTCTGTGCTAATATTAACAATATCAAAACTTTAAGTCACCAATAGTCAATTGATATTTTTTTATATTTATAGACTTTAATTTTTTGACTTCGTTCAATATAATATAAGTATTATATTAAGTTTTGATTAGTGATTAGTTATGTATAAAGAGTTTTTGTTATTTTGCGCTAGGGTAACACTACTTAAGAGTTCATAAGAACTTAAGTGACATTTTGAACGTAAATATAGTATTCGTGACAGTTATAAAACGAATACTGATCGTAAAATTATTTTCAATAGGCCTGGATATCAATCTATTATTATCAGTATTGTAAACTAATCCGTATTATAAACTTAATTCTATGCACAATGCACATCACATTTTTTAGTAGGAACAAATATTATTATACATATAGGTAAGTATATTTTTGCCTAATTAATTGATTATAAAATTGGTATAGCTATCAAAGTCTTACATTACCATGATTTATATTAAAGTCAAAATGAAAATTCCCAAAGTCGATCATAGTATAATAATTCGTAATAATATTATAAATATGTGTAACTATATCTAGTATAGTAGTAGTAGGTACTAGGTGGTAGCTATTATAAACTTATATAATACTTATATAAATATAAGTACTTATACTATAATTATTATTATTATTATTATTATATACGAGTATAAAGTAAGGGAAAATAATATCATATAATTGGCAAACATTTTCGGACTTTTACCAACGCTGGTTGTTTATCCTAAGATTTACCAATTCTCGATTATAAAAGTCCGAATTACAAAAATCTTTCGAGATTTGACCAAAACCCCGTGTTGTGACTCACACCTCCCTTTCTCCAAAACGTATGACGTGATCCTCACAAAACTAATAGTGTACAAATTTTCATATTGTGCATACAAATACGTACAAATTGAACACAAAGGATTTGCAAAAAAAATGTCTACAAATTCGTGCAAATGACGTACTAAATGATAAAAAATAATAAAATTATCATATTTTTAAAAAGGGGGGGGGGGGGCTGGCGTGACGTACGTATAAATGTAATGATTATGTGCGACGACTACCGGACGACGCAACAGTACTGTAGACTACAGTTGACGTCGGAGTAGTGAGAGTTGTAAAGATGTGTGTGACCAAGTACGGCAAACAACGCGCACCGTCACGCAGATACACGAAAAACTAAATATCTCCAAAAAAAATTTACCTAATTAATAAAATTCGGAATTTTCTCATTCAATGACTAATCTGCTCACCGAGCACTTTCGTTTAAAAAAAAAAAATCATTAAAATCGGTCCAATTGAACTTCAGATATAACTTAACAAAAAAATCGTCTCACATTTTAATATTATATATTATATAATATTATATAGATAATTATCCAAATAAAGCAAAGGCAAAATCAAAAAATAATATCAAAACTAGGAATTAATAAAAACCTCATTCAATATACCATTAAAAGTTATATTTTAAAAATATAATTTTGTCCGATGGTATGAGCCACCGACCTTTATTATGTGTTATTATTTACTTTTACTTCAAAATATATTAGCAATATAAAAAAAAAATGACTTAAAGGCTGAATATTAAATACAATATTGATAAATTTCACAATCAAAGGCACAGTCAGGTTGGCCGAGCGGTCTAAGGCGCCAGATTTAAGCTCTGGTTCCCAAACGGGAGCGTGGGTTCGAACCCCACACCTGACAAAAACTTTTTTTTCAAATCAGAATTTTATATTGATTGAAAATATTTCCTTTTTTAAAAAAAAAAATACAGCAAGAAAAATTAAAAATCAATCCAGTAAGTACTGATATGTAATATTTTGTAACTGATATTGTATTTATTGCGATATACCGGAAGTCAGTGTATTTGCGACAGAATGGTTAAATTGCCTATGCAATATGCCGTATGGATTTGTTCAATTAGTAAATTGTAGTACGGAGAAAAAACTCGTAGAGTGTAAAAAACGAAAATAATCGAAGTATAATATCTTTAGTTTTTAGTAAGAACTACTTATGAAAAACCTTGAATTAAAACTTTAATCGTTTATAAAAAAAAATTGGGCTCATGTATTTTAAATATTTTAAAATTTTTTAAAAATAATAACATATTTAGGATATTTTATTACATTTTCAAACTTCCAGATCAAACCTAAATATTTTATCAGGGCATTACCATAGCTACTGGCTGGTAAGACTGTATCTCCAACATTCGTGTCAAATAAATAAATAATAATCAATCATCAATAATAAATATTCAACTACTTTCATTCATACTGCTTTTTAATTAATTTTATGTTATTTTATATTAGGTCAGTAGTCACACAATATTTTTTCACCTGTATTAATATTTATTTAGTTATCATATCCACCAACTAATTTATTATGCGACCAATATAAAACACATCATCACTTAGCTCAAAATTTTTAAAATGGCTTACAGAACTGGATCTCATAGTTAATTGGTATTATGTATCACAGTGTCTCTTATTCATATCTTTTGGCTAATTGAATGATGATAATATAATTTTAATTATAAAAATAATGCATATTATAATAATTCGATAACTTTCTAAATTAATATACTTGTATACTACTTTTAATTCTTATTCCCAAAACAGTGGTCAATATCTAAATTAAAAAATCCTGAATATCAAATTCCTGATTAATCTCATTTATATATTTGTAATTTGTATTGTAATAAGAACAGAGCTATAAACTATAGTCATCTAAATAATCTCAGGTATATTGTTTACTGAGAACATTATAATATTGAATTTTAAAACTATAAAAATTAATTACATTGTATTTGAAATCATATAAATTAATTGATTGTAATTTCGTTACTAAAATAATAATTTTATTCAAGACATATATATTATATGTTTATAAATTATCAAAATATTTATGACTTATTTAGGTATTATACATTGAGATAATTATAAAAAAATATGATGACATGCTTAAATACTATAGGTAAGATTTGGACAATCTAGTTGAAATTTCATGGATGTATATTTATAAGATTTTTGTCCTGCAATTAATATAATATATAATAAATTGTACTCAAACACTTAATAAGCAATAACACTGCATATTCATTATTAGTACAGAACAATCATTATATTTTAAAGAAATGAGCACTTCTAAAGAAAAATTATATTATTTTTAATTGAGCCTATTAATTGTTCATAATTTTTAATCACTTATCTAAATGACGCTTTTTTTAGCTTTCAGATTTTTTTTATCTCAAAGATAAATTATAATTAAAAAAAAAATGTATATATTTAATTACAAATACATAATATATAACAAAACAAAACAATTTTTTTCTAAAATAAAATTAAAAAAAAAAAAAAAACAAAAATTAAATATTTTCATGTTTATTGGAAAAAACCCATAAATGTAATATAATTTTTATATATTATGCAAATATAAAGTCTTAAAAATATGTGATAGGTACATAACACAATATTAATTATTTTTTTTTTTGTTGTTCTAATTTAGGTTGTAATATAATATATCAACTTAATGTTACATTAAACTACTAATCAATAATAAAAAAGTATTTAATAACCACAAAATGAGCTTATCATTTGGGTAACAAAAGGATGAGCCAGGTCTTCATTTAACATGAAGCTATCTTACAAAGTGACACATTGGTCAACTATGAAGTATACTGACTACTGTAAAAATAAAAAAAAATCTAACTTATTACAAAATATATAAACAAAATTCTGTATTTTTATGTTTAATACACACAAAACATCATTAAGAAGATAATATATTATATATTATAAATATATATATATATATTTATATAAAATAATAATAAACGATAAAAATAAATTGAACAGACTTATCACAACAAAACTAAAATTATATTCTCACATAGTCAGTAAAAATTTGTATTTATACCTTTTGTTTAATTTAATTCAAAAATTTTGGTATCCTTTTTATTTTCTTAATTAAAGTTTAAAGCTTAATAGTTTGATTAATAATTTTAAAAAAAAATTAGCTTTATAAAAAAACCCGTAAATTGAAGTTCAATAACTTTATCTAAAAATAAAGTTCATTTCAATATGGTTATTATTATTATTATTATTATTATTATTATCATATTTAATAACAATTATAACATACAAAATTATTTTTGAGTACATACATGCATGATTTTTAATATGATTAGAGGTACTGGAAATTAAAGTTTTTATTGGTAATAAAAAAAATTCTTACATAAAAAAGGATTATTATAATCAAGAGTACTTAACAAAATTTATGTGAGAAGATTTTTTTGGTTAAATTGTATATTATAATAATAAACATTAGATGTCATATTTCCTAATCTAAATGTGTCAAATTAATAATAATCATCTTAAAGTTAATACAAACTTAAGCTATATTATAAATATAACATTACAAAAAGGAATATTTTGAGGGTTATTTTTGAAAATAATGTAACATGCATTTTTAAATTTCAGACTTAAAAAGACAACGAATTGACAACATTTATTCTTGTTTTTTTTTTTGTGTGTGTGCATGTGTATGTGCATATGTTATGTTCCATAGACAGATTATTCCAAAGTCACTCTAGACATCATAATACCGCCTCGTTTACATAGCCAAGCACTAAATAAAACAAAATTATATAAATTTTATGATATTTTAAAATTATAAAATTATAATATAGTTCCGTACCCAACACCAGCTCCCAGCAGTATAGATAAAATATTGGTCAGGAACAAAGTATACAAAACTTCTTTGGAAAAGAGGCTGTCTTTGCCAACCTTAGCATTGCGCATACTGTATGTCTTCTTCTTGGGATGAATGAATTTCCAGTTTCTATAAAAATAAAATAAATAATAAAAAATAAGATAATTTTATTATTAATAAAACATACAGTTTTTAAATGGTAAATAAATATAATTATTAAGAAAACAATAGCAGTCTAGTAACATAATTTACAAAGCATAACAATTTACTTATATTTATTTTACATAATAGTTTTCACAATAGCTGCCAGCTAATAAAAAATCACTAATCTATTAAAATAGCTAATGTTATTTAAAGTCATAAAAAAAGTATAATATTAATTGATATGTAAAAATACAAATGAACCAATGTTTGTCTACTAATCAATTAATGTATATCATCAATAATCAATAATCTCTAATTCTAATAAGTATAACTAATAGTTAAAGCAAAATTAAAATCAATACATACATTGTAATTTTATTTTTAGATAAAATTTTGAAAAAATTGACTATATAAATACATATTGCAAGAAATACAAATTATAACATACTTTGATCAAATTTAAAATTTTAGCATACAAAATGAAAACTTAATGATTTAGTTTTATTTATTATTACTCAAACCTAACAGCAGGAAAAATAACATGTCCTACTTCTTCCACTTCTACATGAATAAAAATAAATATGGCCACAAATACATTTTAAATAATTACAAAAAATTATTAAAATTTCATACTTTTTTAACATATATATTCTAATATATTATATTTAGTTATATATAATTACTTGGGAGGTGCTTGGTCTGGTCGGCTACTCCAATCCCATATCCAATCAGTACTCTTATCCAAGTTGTACAATTCTCCACCCTGTAAAAGCAATTATAAAGATTATTATATATTTTAAAATCAATTACAATATTTGATTGAAATTAAATCCATTTGAATTTTTTTTCAGTTATTGTCTAATACAGTTTATGCAATATATTCTAGCTAATCATTAATATATACTATATAGAGGTACCATTTAGGGTTAATATCTATAAACTTGAACAATTACTATCCATACAAACGAATGTAGATAACCTATTGACTTATGAAATAGATTTCAAATTATCATAAATTAAAAAAGTTGTATTTTACAAACTACTTGAAACTTATTGTGTTTTTCATACATTGCAACTTATTATAAAAAAAGGTGTTGTATTTATACCATTTGAATAAGCAGTAATTGTGGATTACTTAACACATATGATTTAAATTCTAAAAAGGAAACCATTTGGAATTATAAATAAACAAAACAATTTAAAATAATTATTTTTAATACACGTTGTTTTCCTCCACCAAAATGTCTAATATTGTTCATATACTATAATTACAAAAGTGCATTGTACAGTGTTTCAATAGTTTTTATTATATTTAACTTTTAATCATAATTTTTTTCGATATTATTAATTAAAATTTATATTTTATTAGCAAATTTGGAAAATTATTATATCTACACACAACAAAAAATAATACAGTTACTTAATATTAGTAATTAGAACTGAATTAGGTATACGACTTACAAGAAAAATATTTTTATGTATTATTTATAAGTTTTATTTAACAATACTTACTCTGTTTGAATAATTTATGTACACTCCCCTGAGATCATCTTCCAATTCATTGTTTGGACTGTTTGGTGGTGATTTTGGACTGAAAAATAAAAATAAAACGATTGGTTAGAATTGAAGTAAAAATAATCTACTGAAATGAATTAATATAATGCGTATAATATTATGAGTTACTATTATTACCTGCCCTTTATGGACGATTCTTTGGACAAAACTCTGGACGAAGAGTTACTTTCCCTTTGAGCCTCTTTCAACAGTCTAAGGTATTCTTCGCCGGACGATATGAACGGCACTGGAGTGACACGGTCGGCGCTCTGGAAAGATATCGGTGACGCGCAGCTAGTGATATCAACCCAAGATTCTAAAAATGTAAACAAATATGTTAGTTATATGTTAATTTTGGAATTCCTAATCACAAACCCGATCAAATTCATAACGTACACTATAATACAAGAGTCAAAACTTTTACGTGCAAAAATTGGCAATAAAAAATGTTGGTATCTCCACTAAATTTGTATAAAAATTAAGCTCAATACGATAAAATCACCCATGTAGCCAGATGTAATTCTATTTTACGGTTATGGAAAAATTAAATACTTATGTAATCTCCCATGGACTGCGAGAAACGTTTTTTAAATATGTTGGTATTTAAATAGGAAATAAATATTTACTAACATGGGTAGAAAGCACACTTAGAAACATAATATGGCATTCAAAACATACAACTTCTGTTTGTACCATATGTCAATAATTTTGTTTGTAAAATTTCAAATGTATTCTTTAAATTTCAAATAATTAAATTGTTTTGAAGTAAAAATTAATAGTAATAACTAAAAATTGTGTAAATAAAATATTTCCAAAAACAGGGGTAAAAGAATCACCTTTTACGACAATGAAATCTTACATAAATATGATACCTACGGTTATCATTATAGCTTAATATTAATTTATACGTCGTCATCTATAAGAATGTAAGACTATACACTACTGTCATGGTAAAACTGTAATGGGATATATGCATATAAAATAACCTTTACAAAATATGTTTATTTTTTGTTTGGTGACCGACTGCCGTATATGGCCGTCTCACAGTAACGCGATAATTCCAGTAGACTCAAAGAATTAGGACATAGTATCATATATTGTTATTGCAAACTCGACGCACCTATAACTACCATACCTACGTACAAGCTTGGCGACGATCAGTGAATAAAAATATAACATTGAATGCCTACATTTATACCAACCATTATCGTTTTTATTTATTAATTGTATTTAATATATTTATTGTACGATTGTTATTATTGTGATTATTCTAAATTATTACAGCAGTAATTATTTTTAAAGAGTACCTTGTACGTAACCTCAAAATAAAAAAATTGTCTTAGAAAATTGTACACCAGAATTCTATTTTTAAGTTAACGATTTGGCTAATTAGTATTAAATAATAATACATATTTTTTTTTCAAAACATTAGTCAAATTCATAAATTATAAAATATTGTTAAAATTGACCGGTAAATATATACAATTTTAATATTATAGTAAAATTGTAATTACGCAAATTATACTACTCTAGGTTGTTTGTGTGAAATTAAAAACGGTGATTATTGCTTGGAATATATTTATTTTTACGTGAAATGATTACACACAATCGTCTAAATCATCTAAAATATATATTAGGAGGCATGGACAACAATTAATAAATGATATTAATAATAAAGGTATATTATAAAGCATTTTCATGAATATTCAGGAACGGTAAAAAATCGTTATAACTTCGTAGATTAAATAAATAACTAAATATGATATAGCAGTTCATCATAAATCATAATATAACATACGTATAATACACATTGACGCGAAATAAAAAAAACATAACACACTTGGGTGAAAAACAAAACAATTTTACATGAACTCATCTTTGTCACACAACAACAAAATGTTTACGACGAAAAAAATAAATAGAAATCAATTAGAGCGTTAAAAAATAAACAACAAAACCAAGACGCAATGACAGTATACCTAACCATCACATACAATCATAACAGCCAGCCACACATATACTACGAACGTATATAAAATGGTGTGTGTGTGTATATATATATATATATATTTATACTTATGACCATAACCATATCGTGATAACCGTCATACCACATAACCACAAACGTCATCGTCGTTGTTATAAGCGTATAATAGGACGAACAGTGCAGAACGACAGCTGTATCGAATTTAGCAAAATTGACACAGCGTTAATGTCTCCTATCAAAGACAAACCGTTGTGAAAGATACGAATCGTTCGGAGGCGGGAGTCGCTTGTTACACGATATCTATTTACAATAGTTGTACGCTGTATGTATTGAACACGTAACGTAATATTATACGGTTCTTAAACGGACCACCATTTGGCATCGTCGTTGACAACAAATATTGCGTTGTGCGCGTATGCGTAGCCAGAGGTCAACTACAACGGTATATACATCTATTATATCAAGCGTGCATATTGTAGCGACGATTAACAACAACAACAACAACACAAAAAAGCAAACTGTTTACTACTTAATAAAAAATTAGAAAGTAAAGGGGTGAGACTGGTAAGAGTGTTACGTTATAGTATAATGGTTGTTGATGATTAACTAGCTTCTGTATAGGTTAAGTTAGATTAGGTAGTATTATTTTCTTAATTCAAGAGGTAGAACGGATTTTTGACAAAAATATTTTTATAACACGCGTAGAAAATAAACATTTACCTACTTTTAAAGGTGAAAATTGAAAAATATCAATACTGCGATTATTATGTTTTATTACAAAAAATAACTTAAAACAAATTAATTTTGTAAACATTCCTGCTCTTTTGGTGTCAATGTAAGGAAAATACCGAAGGGATTCAACTGTTTTTCAAACCCACAAACTCAAAATACCAACATAGTTAAAATTCCTCTAAAAAACCATCATTCACCGATTTTGAAAGTTAGAATTTATTTTTTCCATCAATATGCCAAAAAATCAACCAAAACACGCTCACAATGCAAAACACATTGTAAAAAAATTATCGCCATACCGTCAAGTTAGTAGACATTCGTCGCGAAAATACAATATTTACTATATACGAGAGTATAATAAACGTGGCAATGATACAAGTATAGTCAATTTATCGCGTGATCCTTGAACATAACGATCTATACTGTTGTAATACGAGTATAATGTATCGGGAAAACAAGATCAAGCCTGCAACTACGCATCCAACGATCGACACAAAAAACAAAATATGTAATAACAATATGATGCAAACTGATTATAGTATACGTAATAATATAAAAATCGAAAACAACTACAAAACTATAGTTATATTGGCTATATTATTTAATTGTACATTAAAGAGCATTCATATATCATACGGTTTTTTTCGTATACACCGTTCTTCGGTTGATATCAAAACCAAATTCATACACATTGGTTTTATTATCGGATGATAACACTGAAAATAAAGTGAGTATCTACAATCCGTCATTGAACAATATGTTCGGTTAAAATAATCGTTAACCAACAATAGATAAATTATTATGCGTACCTATAAGTAAGTCAATGACTAGTTTACATTTTTCTTTGAAAAAAAGTATTTTTGTTATTTTTGTTTCGTAATAATACACAATTTTTAAGCGCACTTATCGTTGTTAAAAACAATACCAAATAATAAAGTTTTAGATTTGGAAAAATAAAGAGCGAAACGTGTAATTTTCAGTTTTAATCCAACTTTTATCATGCAAATTGAATTTAACTAGGTACATAATATAAAAGACAACTTTGGCTATCGAAATTTAGACGTACATAATAAATATTCTTATTGTAATATCGATTTGAAAATTTTTGAAATGCGTACAAGAGCGGTATTACGTAACATTTAAATTTGGTTTTGTTAACACTACTATATACACTGATCACTATGTATATTGTAATTATTATGGTAAATTTGCAGTATGACAATACCAATAAAATATACGTACATGTCATGATTTATATTTTTTTAACCATAAAACAGATGTTGTGGTTTGTACATTCAATATAATATATTATACATAATAATAATATGAAAACCAGCCATTGACTGCGGACCGTACAATATTATATCAGTGTCCGGGCTCGTCTACTTTTTTTATTTGACACACCTAATCATTTTTATCACCGTACCCACACTTTTCAAAATATTAATTTATATAATATATATAATTACATACATTTTCCACAAATATCGGTAGTCAAAATGCATTGATAATTATTGGCTATAAATGTTATAAATTATAATATACTAGGATATCAAGAATTTTTATAGGTTAAACATTATAAAATACTTACTTTAAATACTTTAAATGGAAAACATTTTAGTTAATTATATTTACAGTACAATAGTAATTATTAAAATTTAAAAATTTAAATAGTTAAAAAGTTATTTTAATTTTAATAGCATAATTATATAATTACTAAATTTTAACTATTTATTATATTACTAAGTTATGCATTGATAAATCTATTTTCTAGAAATTAATTTAAAGTCAATTTAAAGGAACTGCATAAATACTTAGGATTAGGATACTTAATACATTACCATGTCAATAAATTACATGATACTTTATTTTAATTTTATTAATAATTATAAAGAAGTACAACATTTATACCAAATATTTTATACGTATATGCGCCATTCAATTTTTCTCTATAATATATACAAATTATAATATTATTTTATACAAATGATTCATGTTATATATTAATAAATTATATACTTTAGCATAAACGTATACTATAAATAAAAAAACTAAAAAGTCATGAAAAAAAGAAAACATAAATTTTTATTATTTTGAGCCATATCTAGTACTATTCAAATTTATCTAGCGCAATAATAATAAATATTAACATTTCAGAGGTCGATAAAAAAATTCGAATTTTCTTTGCGTGCGCGTCATACGCATATTCTAGCGAGCTTATAATTTATTAGTAACTATATAATATTACTATGATCTGCAAAACATTGCCACACATAGATTTGGTTACTAAACAAAGCGAAAGTATATTTTATTTACGATATAGCTACCGTAAACGTGCAGAATATAATACTAATTATACACACACACACACGCGCGCCCGCGCGCGCGCGAATTTTATATTTTTGTTCGTCCATTTGAAACTGACGCTACATTGCAGATTACGCGCCACGTTGCCAATTCGATTTCGTTGCGTGCACTTCTGCATTGCTAAATCATAATACATAGGTATTAAAGTCGTTTGATATTTAAAATACAATAATAGAGTAGGTATATTAGGTATATTGCCTATGTTATAGATAAAAATGCCACGGGAGTGA